TCTGACCCCGAGTCTGCCAGGCCCCGCCCCCTGCCCCTCCCCCAGCCCCGCCCCCCCTGCCCCACACTGTCCCGGTCCTTTCTCTGTGAGCTCTAAATAGACCCTAAAAGCATCGGCCCCTCCGCTCTGAGGGCATGCTTGAGTCTTGATAATAAAGATGGTGTTAGGGGGGGAGGGAGAAGGGGGAGGAGGGGGGAGGAGGATGCTCCACACTCAAACGATGCCAGGAGCCAGCGCTTAGCAACCGGGTGTTCGGACCGACCACGTCTGAATAATGGAGAAGATGCGAAAGTCGACTCAAGGGACGAAGAGACACAACATTTTACTCCAGAAAGAATCAGAAAGAATCAGAACGACTGGTTTTCATTTCTCTGAGAAAGAATTATCTGTAAATAACAAATATATAACGGCAGTAAAGTACATTGTTGATAAAGTAGAAAAGAACGCCTTGGATTTGTTTTGTCTTTCATATTGTGTCCTGTCTGCTTCATTTATCTCTGGTCTCTCTCTGGTCTCTCTCTGGTCTCTCTCTGGTCTCTCTCTCTGGTCTCTCTCTCTGGTCTCTCTCTGGTCTCTTTCTGGTCTCTCTCTCTGGTCTCTCTCTGGTCTCTCTCTGGTCTCTCTCTGGTCTCTCTCTGGTCTCTCTCTGGTCTCTCTCTGGTCTCTTTCTGGTCTCTCTCTAGTCTCTCTCTGGTCCTTCTCTGGTCTCTCTCTGGTCTCTCTCTGGTCTCTCTCTGGTCTCTCTCTGGTCTCTCTCTGGTCTCTCTCTCTGGTCTCTCTCTCTGGTCTCTCTCTGGTCTCTCTCTGGTCTCTCTCTGGTCTCTCTCTGGTCTCTCTCTGGTCTCTCTCTGGTCTCTCTCTGGTCTCTCTCTAGTCTCTCTCTGGTCCTTCTCTGGTCTCCCTCTGGTCTCTCTCTGGTCTCTCTCTGGTCTCTCTCTGGTCTCTCTCTGGTCTCTCTCTGGTCTCTCTCTGGTCTCTCTCTGGTCTCTCTCTGGTCTCTCTCTGGTCTCTCTCTGGTCTCTCTCTGGTCTCTCTCTGGTCTCTCTCTGGTCTCTCTCTGGTCTAACTGTGGGACTTTTCCAAAGGCAAAGACCTGCAGCAACAGGAGAGAGAAGAAGAAAGGACTGAAAGAGCTGGGAGTGGCACACACACACACACACAGAGACACACACACACACACACACACACAGACACAGACACACACACACACACAGATATACACGCACACAACATGTCACTGGGTAAATATTAGAGCTTGAGGATCACCCACAATGCACTCTGTTTGAAGGAGTGTGGCTCCGATCATAGAGAGAGAGAGGGAGAGAGAGAGAGGGAGGGAGAGAGAGAGAGGGAGGGAGAGAGAGAGAGAGAGAGAGAGAGAGAGAGAGAGAGAGGGAGGGAGAGAGAGAGAGAGAGAGAGAGAGAGAGAGAGAGAGAGAGAGAGGAGGGAGAGAGAGAGAGGAGGTCCACCATCACACATAGGCGCTGACTCTGCAGCCGTGATGAGGGGGGAGAGGGGGGAGAGGGGGGAGAGGGGGGAGGTCCACTCTGCCTCTGACATGATTAACATTAAAAATTCATCAGGTGAATGAGAGGTAAAAGTGGGGCACAAGTCAGGCGTGTGTGAAGACTTAGACCGATACGGGGGAGGGAGGGGGAGGGAGGGAGGGGGAGGGACGGAGGGGGAGGGGGGGGGGGGGGTTAAATAACTGTTTACTTTTGCATTTCATGGTATTAAAACTTAAATATGTGTCTGTATCACAGTATCTGACAGACGAGAGAGAGACCAGAGAGAGAGACCAGAGAGAGAGACCAGAGAGAGACCAGAGAGAGAGACCAGAGAGAGAGACCAGAGAGAGACCAGAGAGAGACCAGAGAGAGAGACCAGAGAGAGACCAGAGAGAGAGACCAGAGAGAGAGACCAGAGAGAGAGACCAGAGAGAGACCAGAGAGAGAGACCAGAGAGAGACCAGAGAGAGACCAGAGAGAGAGACCAGAGAGAGAGACCAGAGAGAGAGACCAGAGAGAGACCAGAGAGAGAGAACCAGAGAGAGACCAGAGAGAGACCAGAGAGAGAGACCAGAGAGAGAGACCAGAGAGAGAGACCAGAGAGAGAGACCAGAGAGAGACCAGAGAGAGACCAGAGAGAGAGACCAGAGAGAGAGACCAGAGAGAGTTAATATTTGGTCAGTTTTTATACTTTCTTTACAGAAATCTTTGTTACTGTATCGTTTTAATGTAGATTTTCTCTCTCTCTCTCCTCTCTCTCTCCTCTTTCCTCTCTTCAACAAAAATAAATCAATTTATTTTGCCTCAATACAAATATTCCTCCAGATTATTTAAAGAAAAGCTGACCCTGACGCTGCAGAAGCTGCAGCAGCCTCAGAGTCTAACAACAGACCGAGCACCGTCTCAAACTGAAATCTTAAACATCATCTTTAAGAAACATCTCGCGTCTCTGAGCCTCTGCGTCTCTGAGCCTCTGCGTCTCTGAGCCTCTGCGTCTCTGAGCCTCTGCCTCTCTGAGCCTCTGCATCTCTGAGCCTCTGCCTCTCTGAGCCTCTGCATCTCTGAGCCTCTGCATCTCTGAGCCTCTACCTCTCTGAGCCTCTGCATCTCTGAGCCTCTGCATCTCTGAGCCTCTGCGTCTCTGAGCCTCTGCGTCTCTGAGCCTCTGCATCTCTGAGCCTCTGCGTCTCTGAGCCTCTGCGTCTCTGAGCCTCTGCGTCTCTGAGCCTCTGCGTCTCTGAGCCTCTACCTCTCTGAGCCTCTGCATCTCTGAGCCTCTGCGTCTCTGAGCCTCTGCATCTCTGAGCCTCTGCGTCTCTGAGCCTCTGCGTCTCTGAGCCTCTGCGTCTCTGAGCCTCTGCCTCTCTGAGCCTCTGCATCTCTGAGCCTCTACCTCTCTGAGCCTCTACCTCTCTGAGCCTCTGCATCTCTGAACCTCTGCCTCTCTGAGCCTCTACCTCTCTGAGCCTCTGCATCTCTGAGCCTCTGCATCTCTGAGCCTCTGCGTCTCTGAGCCTCTGCATCTCTGAGCCTCTGCGTCTCTGAGCCTCTGCGTCTCTGAGCTTCTGCGTCTCTGAGCCTCTACCTCTCTGAGCCTCTGCATCTCTGAGCCTCTGCGTCTCTGAGCCTCTGCGTCTCTGAGCCTCTGCATCTCTGAGCCTCTGCGTCTCTGAGCCTCTGCGTCTCTGAGCCTCTGCGTCTCTGAGCCTCTGCGTCTCTGAGCCTCTACCTCTCTGAGCCTCTGCATCTCTGAGCCTCTGCGTCTCTGAGCCTCTGCATCTCTGAGCCTCTGCGTCTCTGAGCCTCTGCATCTCTGAGCCTCTGCGTCTCTGAGCCTCTGCGTCTCTGAGCCTCTGCGTCTCTGAGCCTCTACCTCTCTGAGACTCTGCATCTCTGAGCCTCTGCGTCTCTGAGCCTCTGCGTCTCTGAGCCTCTGCATCTCTGAGCCTCGCTGCGTCTCTGAGCCTCTGCGTCTCTGAGCCTCTGCGTCTCTGAGCCTCTGCGTCTCTGAGCCTCTACCTCTCTGAGCCTCTGCATCTCTGAGCCTCTGCGTCTCTGAGCCTCTGCATCTCTGAGCCTCTGCGTCTCTGAGCCTCTGCGTCTCTGAGCCTCTGCGTCTCTGAGCCTCTGCCTCTCTGAGCCTCTGCATCTCTGAGCCTCTACCTCTCTGAGCCTCTACCTCTCTGAGCCTCTGCATCTCTGAACCTCTGCCTCTCTGAGCCTCTACCTCTCTGAGCCTCTGCATCTCTGAGCCTCTGCATCTCTGAGCCTCTGCGTCTCTGAGCCTCTGCGTCTCTGAGCCTCTGCATCTCTGAGCCTCTGCGTCTCTGAGCCTCTGCGTCTCTGAGCCTCTGCGTCTCTGAGCCTCTGCGTCTCTGAGCCTCTACCTCTCTGAGCCTCTGCATCTCTGAGCCTCTGCGTCTCTGAGCCTCTGCATCTCTGAGCCTCTGCGTCTCTGAGCCTCTGCGTCTCTGAGCCTCTGCGTCTCTGAGCCTCTGCGTCTCTGAGCCTCTACCTCTCTGAGCCTCTGCATCTCTGAGCCTCTGTGTCTCTGAGCCTCTGCGTCTCTGAGCCTCTGCATCTCTAAACCTCTGCGTCTCTGAGCCTCTGCGTCTCTGAGCCTCTGCATCTCTGAGCCTCTGCATCTCTGAGCCTCTGCGTCTCTGAGCCTCTGCCTCTCTGAGCCTCTGCGTCTCTGACCGAGGACAGTTCAGCACAAACACATTTAACCATAAATGAACCATAAACAGAAAAACTATAAAAACATAAACAGGAAATGATCAAAGACTTTGTTTCATCACATTATTATTATTATTATTATTATTATTATTATTATTATTATTATTTACATGATGAAACTTTCAGATCAGGAACAACCTTCAAACAAAGCAAAGCAGCTGAAGTTCAGACGAACTGAATCAAATACACTGTACATGTGTTTTCATATAACCACGAAAATAAAACAGGACTCTCCTCTCTCTCTCCTCCTCTCTCCTCTTCCTCCTCCTCCTCTCCTCCTCTCTCCTCCTCTCTCCTCCTCTCTCCTCCTCCTCTCCTCCTCTTCCTCCTCCTCCTCTCCTCCTCTCTCCTCCTCTCTCCTCCTCTCTCCTCCTCCTCTCCTCCTCTCCCTGCTCCTCTCCTCCTCTCTCTCCTCTCTCCTCTCTTCTCTCTCCTCCTCTCTCTCTCTCTCTCCTCTCCTCCTCTCTCTCCTCTCTCCTCTCTCCTCCTCTCTCTCCTCTCTCCTTTCCCTCCTCTCTCTCCTCCTCTCTCCTCTCCTCTCCTCCTCCTCTCCTCCTCCTCCTCCTCCCTCCTCTCTCCTCTCCTCTCCTCCTCTCTCCTCCTCTCCCTCCTCCTCTCCCTCCTCCTCTCTCTCCTCCTCTCTCTCCTCCTCTCTCCTCCCTTCTCCCCTCTCTCTCTCCTCTCCTCTCTCTCCTCTCCTCTCTCCTCTCTCTCCTCTCCTCTCTCCTCCTCTCTCCTCTCTCTCCTCTCTCCTCTCCCTCCTCTCTTCTCTCTCCTCCTCTCTCTCCTCCTCTCCCTCCTCCTCTCCCTCCTCTCTCTCCTCTCTCTCCTCTCCTCCTCTCTCCTCCTCTCTCCTCTCTCCCCACAACACACGCGTCATTCCCGTGTGTACAAACGCAGAGTGAGAAATGTGTTTTTTTTACAGATGATTATGATAAGTTTAAAGATGAACTTTGTGTTGGTACAGAGCGCGCTCCAGACTCACCGTGCGCGCGTAAACACAGTAATCCAAAAACCACCACGCACTCCAGCGGACTCATCCTCGCATGTTCCCACATCCAGCGCCAGCTCCTGCGTAAAAATCCACAACTTCTGCGCCAGATTCAGCACAAACTCAGGGCGCGTCACGGAGCGATACACACAGACAGGTCTCCCATCCGCTCTGCCCCAGCCTCACAGCGGGGCGGCATCCGGAGAGCGACGCCGAGATCAGTGCGACAGCTCCGGGTGTAGGTCCTCATCGGAACGCGAGCCCCCGACGCGGCTCCGGTCTCAGGCTCCGGTCTCAGGCTCCGGTCTCAGGCTCCGGTCTCAGGCTCCGGTCTGGGCTCCTTCAGTCCTCCGCCTGCGTCCCCACGTCCCCCGCGGCGGAAGTAAAAGTTGCCAAACGTAGAATCGTCTCCATTTGCGCCAAAACGTGCGGGAAAGTGACGCACAAAAGTCAGAAGGAGCTGCGTGCGGTGTGCGTGAGGCAGGACTGGTGCCTCTGTGGGTGGATCTGCCGCTGCTGCTGCTGTTTCTGCAGAGCTGGAGCTGCGCCGAGAGGACCCGCGGTGGAAACGATCAGAGAGGACTTTATTCTCAGTGTGAGGAAATGTCAGTGTTGCATCAGCAGTTACAGAGGAGCTCACGGCACAACATACATGAACAATATCTCTGTAAAAACACACATCTCTAACTTTAGTATAATAAAGAAGCAAGTATAACATCTTTAACTTTAGCATTAACCATAATTGTTTGACCCGATCATAAACAAACCTCAGTGTAAACAGAAAGTAAACAAATCGAAACTAATTTAATCTGGAAAGACTCAACAAAGATTGCATTAAAATGATTGTCAGATTCATGAATGAACACCACAGACTTAAATCAATTCTATTTATTGATAAGTTTTGGCGATTAGACCCCGGGGCCTCGAACCTGGTGGTTCATGATGCTGCTCTGAAGAGGAGGTGATGAGGAGGAGGAGGGTTGCTGCTCGAGGCACAGGTGTGTATGACGTGCCTTTGGTCTCCCAGTCTGAATTTGCACTAAAGCTTCAGTTCAAAGGTCTGTGTTGGAGCTGGAGTTGGCTGGATTACAGTCATGATGTGGCTCTTTTCTTGTGGAGAATATGAATACAATGTTCACTGATCCCAGAAATTCAAATAAGGGAAAAGGGTCCTCTCGCTGCAGGCCTCACGGCGCAGCTCCAACTGCGCAGATACCTCTCCCTCCTGTGGCAGACGCAGGCGCTGGTGCCACAGGGAGCGGCCCGGACGGCACAGGGTCCGGGAGAAGCGGAAGAGGAGCGGAAGAGGAGCAGGAGAGGAGCAGGAGAGGAGCAGGAGAGGAGCAGGAGAGGAGCAGGAGAGGAGAATGAGAGGAGCAGGAGAGGAGCAGGAGAGAGGAGAACTTCACCTCCGCTCCCTCCTCACAGTCACCGCGTGGGCTGAGCGTGTGCGTGTGCGTGTGCCACTCTATGGAACTGTTTAGTGCTTTATGTGAAACTCCTTCAGGCTTGTGCGCGTCCACAGCCTCCTTAGGCTCGTGCACGTCCTCCTCCACGTGCTCCGTCTTTGAAATGTTGAGTAAAAACATGAGACATAATTATAAAAGTATTGAACCAAAAGGAGCACAGCAGAGTCCGGACTGTGGAAGTCTGAAGTCCAGTTGTTGCGCGTGTGCCCGGGCCTGGTCTCGGCGCGTGCACGCTGAGAACCCGATGCCGCAGTGCATGTGATATTAATGGCCTGGGAGATTGAGGCAGAATTGTAAATATGATCTTGGTCAGAGATCGATCCATGATTGACCACGTCTGAGTGTGAGTGTGCACGTGCCCAGTGCGTCCCGTGCACGCGCCTCTCTGACCTCTGCTGACGTCACACAGATGACCCGCTGTGGTCACGGCCCGCTCTGAGACTCTGAGGAAGAGGAGGCTGTTGCTTCAGTACTGCCCAGCAACGATGCTCCAGTCCCGGGTCTGAAGGCGAGCTAAGGGCGCCCCCTGCCGGTCCGCACGGGAACTGACGGACAGTCTGCGTGGGACAGGGGTGTGAGGAGGCTAAAAAACACACGAATAAATAAGACAATAAAGGAAAAAACAGTTTTAACTTGACACAATCAGACCATCTGTATTTAAAGATGTAGAAAGATAGAACCGTAACTCTCACAGTGCTGAAGAGAAGAAGGAAAGAAACACTAAAACCACCTTAAAAAGAGTCAGAAACCCCATGTCTGGTTCCTCTGTGGCAGGAGTCCAGAGAGTCCAGAGAGTCCAGAGGGTCCAGAGAGTCCAGAGAGTCCAGAGAGTCCAGAGGGTCCAGAGAGTCCAGAGAGTCCAGAGAGTCCAGAGGGTCCAGAGAGTCCAGAGAGTCCAGAGAGTCCAGAGGGTCCAGAGAGTCCAGAGGGTCCAGAGAGTCCAGACTGGAGTCCAGAGAGTCCAGACTGGAGTCCAAAGGGTCCAGAGAATCTAGAGAGTCCAGAAAGTCCAGACTGGAGTCCATAGTCCAGAGAGTCCAGAGAGTCCAGAGGGTCCAGAGAGTGCAGAGGGTCCAGAGGGTCCAGAGAGTCCAGACTGGAGTCCAGAGAGTCCAAAGAGTCCAGACTGGAGTCCAGAGAGTCCAGAGAGTCCAGACTGGAGTCCAGAGAGTCCAGACTGGAGTCCAGAGAGTCCAGATGGTCTGAGATTAACAACAGGGTCAGAGTTCACATGAACAACTCCTGAAACTAAACTCCTTTCTGTGTCTTTAAAGTCTCGTCCTTGATTCCAAACTTGTCTCGACATCCACCTCTTGTTCACATGTGGTTCTCATGCATCACACAAACATACAACACCACCCCCCCCCCCCCCCCCCCCCCCCCCCCCCTCCCCCCCCCCCCCCTTGGCTTCTGTCTGAGTGACTGAGGCTGTAGATCCAGGACTGAGGCTGTAGACCCAGGACTGAGGCTGTAGACCCAGGACTGAGGCTGTAGACCTAGGACTGAGGCTGTAGACCCAGGACTGAGGCTGTAGACCTAGGACTGAGGCTGTAGACCCAGGACTGAGGCTGTAGACCCAGGACTGAGGCTGTAGACCCAGGACTGAGGCTGTAGACCCAGGACTGAGGCTGTAGACCCAGGACTGAGGCTGTAGACCCAGGACTGAGGCTGTAAGGGTGTGATGAAGACACATTCAGACCTAGTCTCTCTGATCCTGCAGGAGGTGCATCAGTGAGAGTCGGTGACATGGGTCGTGGGGGATTGAACCCACAACCTTCAGGTTCACAGACCATAGTTCTACAAACAGAGCCTCAGATCCTCTTCTTCTCTTTCTATAATTAGACTTTAAAGAACGTCCCTCGGCCATTACTCAGACGTTCTGCAGCGTGGCGTTCTGAGGCCGGCGCCACCTTCCTCATGGACCGTGGAAGTCCACACTCGCTGAGAGAATGAGGCCGCGATGGATAGAGCTCCAGACCCGCTTCAGACCAGCTCCAGACCTGCTCCAGACCCGCTCCAGACTCCGAATCATAAACTATTCTTGTTTTCGTGCATTAACCACAGAGAGAGAGACCAGAGAGACCAGAGAGACCAGAGAGAGACCAGAGAGACCAGGTGAGGTGAGCCCCTGGCAGTTGGACTCCTTAATGCCCCTCCATCGCCCCCTAATGGCCCCTCCCTCACAGCTGCTCCGCAGAGTTTATCACTAACACGACCATTGGAGTCACCACATAAACGTCTATGTCCAAATAAAACACCTCAGTCCTGGGTCTACAGCCTCAGTCCTGGGTCTACAATCTCAGTCCTGGATCTACAGCCTCAGTCCTGTGGTCTACAGCCTCAGTCCTGGGTCTACAGCCTCAGTCCTGGGTCTACAGCCTCAGTCCTGGGTCTACAGCCTCAGTCCTGGGTCTACAGCCTCAGTCCTGGGTCTACAATCTCTGTCCTGGGTCTACAGCCTCAGTCCTGGATCTACAGCCTCAGTCCTGGGTCTACAGCCTCAGTCCTGGGTCTACAGCCTCAGTCCTGGGTCTACAGCCTCAGTCCTGGATCTACAGCCTCAGTCCTGGATCTACAGCCTCAGTCCTGGGTCTACAGCCTCAGTCCTGGGTCTACAGCCTCAGTCCTGGGTCTACAGCCTCAGTCCTGGGTCTTATTAAAATCCTCACATTGACTTTGACACTTGTCGTTTTTTCGGATGATCCACAGAGCGGGCGCCTGTGGGACCTCCTGCTGTGGCCCATTACACCCCCCCCCCCCCCCCCCCCCATCACCGCTGTCTCCGATTCCACGCCATCGCTCCCTCGCCGCACCCGGAACATCAAAAATCCATTCCCAATTTCTGTATTTTAATGCAATAAGGTTATTTTCCACCACATCAGACAAAAGCTGTGGATCCCAGACCTGATGGAGAGATTTAAACATGTTTTAGTCTGAGAGTTTTTGTAGAAAACTGAGCTGACCAGTCCGGTCTGTGGTCCAGGTGGACTCCCAGTCCAGTCTGTGGTCCAAGTGGACTCCCAGATTTTGAACTGTATCAATATGACACCAGGGGCACAGATGCAGGGGGCATCTCTCCTCTCTCCTCCTCCTCTCTCCTCTCTCTCCTCTCTCCTCCTCCTCTCTCTCCTCTCCTCTCTCTCCTCCTCCTCTCTCTCCTCTCCTCTCTCTCTCCTCTCTCTCCTCTCTCCCCTCTCCTCTCTCTCTCTCTCTCTCTCCTCTCTCTCTCTCCTCTCCCTCTCCTCTCTCCTCTCCCTCCTCCTCTCTCCTCTCCCTCCTCTCTCCTCTCTCTCCTCTCCCTCTCTCTCCTCTCCTCTCCTCTCTCTCCTCTCTCTCCTCTCTCTCCTCTCCTCCCCTCTCCTCTCTCCTCTCTCTCCTCTCCTCTCTCTCCCTCTCCCTCTCCTCTCTCCTCTCCCTCCTCCTCTCTCCTCTCCCTCCTCTCTCTCCTCTCTCCCCTCTCCTCTCTCCTCTCTCTCCTCTCCTCTCTCTCCTCTCCCTCTCCTCTCCTCTCTCTCCTCCTCCCTCCTCCTCTCTCCTCTCTCTCCTCTCTCTCCTCTCTCTCCTCTCCCTCCTCTCTCTCCTCTCCCTCCTCTCTCTCCTCTCCCCCCTCTCTCCCCTCTCCTCTCTCTCCTCTCCCTCCTCTCCCTCTCCTCTCTCCTCTCCCTCTTCTCTCTCCTCTCCCTCCTCTCTCTCCTCTCCCTCCTCTCCTCCCCTCCCTCTCTCTCCTCTCCCTCCTCTCCCTCTCCTCTCTCCTCTCCCTCCTCTCTCTCCTCTCTCTCATCTCCCTCCTCTCTCTCCTCTCTCTCCTCTCTCTCCTCTCCCTCCTCTCTCTCCTCTCTCTCCTCTCTCTCCTCTCTCTCCTCTCCCTCCTCTCCCTCCTCCTCTCTCCTCCTCCCTCCTCTCTCTCCCTCTCCCTCCTCCTCTCTCCTCTCTGTCCTCTCTCTCCTCTCTCTCCTCTCTCTCCCCTCTCCTCTCCCTCCTCTCCCTCCTCTCTCTCCTCTCCCTCCTCCTCTCTCCTCTCTGTCCTCTCTCTCCTCTCTCTCCTCTCTCTCCCCTCTCCTCTCCCTCCTCTCTCTCTCTCTCTCTCCTCTCCCTCCTCTCTCTCCTCTCTCTCCTCTCTCTCCTCTCCCTCCTCTCTCTCCTCTCTCTCCTCTCTCTCCTCTCTCTCTCTCTCCCTCCTCTCTCTCCTCTCCCTCCTCTCTCCCCTCTCCTCTCTCTCCTCTCCCTCCTCTCCCTCCTCTCTCTCCTCTCTCTCCTCTCCCTCCTCTCTCTCCTCTCCCTCCTCTCTCTCCTCTCTCTCCTCTCTCTCTCTCTCTCTCCTCTCCCTCCTCTCTCTCCTCTCCCTCCTCTCTCCCCTCTCCTCTCTCTCCTCTCCCTCCTCTCTCTCTCTCTCTCTCCTCTCCCTCCTCTCTCTCCTCTCCCTCCTCTCTCTCCTCTCTCTCCTCTCTCTCCTCTCTCTCTCTCTCCTCTCCCTCCTCTCTCTCCTCTCCCTCCTCTCTCCCCTCTCCTCTCTCTCCTCTCTCCTCTCCCTCCTCTCTCTCCTCTCTCTCCTCTCCCTCCTCTCTCTCCTCTCTCTCCTCTCTCTCCTCTCCCTCCTCTCTCTCCTCTCTCTCCTCTCTCTCCTCTCTCTCCCCTCTCCTCTCTCTCTCTCTCTCTCCTCTCTCTCCTCTCCCTCCTCTCCCTCCTCTCTCTCCTCTCCCTCCTCTCTCTCCTCTCCCTCCTCCTCTCTCCTCTCTGTCCTCTCTCTCCTCTCTCTCCTCTCTCTCTCACCTCTCCTCTCCCTCCTCTCCCTCCTCTCTCTCCTCTCCCTCCTCCTCTCTCCTCTCCCTCCTCCTCTCTCCTCTCTGTCCTCTCTGTCCTCTCTCTCCTCCTCTCTCCTCTCTCTCCTCTCTCTCCTCTCTCTCCTCTCTCTCCTCCTCTCTCCTCTCTGTCCTCTCTCTCCTCTCTGTCCTCTCTCTCCTCTCTCTCCTCTCTCTCCTCTCTCCTCTCCCTCCTCTCCCTCCTCTCTCTCCTCTCCCTCCTCCTCTCTCCTCTCCCTCCTCCTCTCTCCTCTCTGTCCTCCCTCTCCTCTCCCTCCTCTCTCTCCTCTCCCTCCTCCTCTCTCCTCTCCCTCCTCCTCTCTCCTCTCTGTCCTCTCTCTCCTCTCTCTCCTCTCTCTCCTCTCTCTCCTCTCTCTCCTCTCCCTCCTCTCCCTCCTCTCTCTCCTCTCTCCTCTCCCTCCTCTCCCTCCTCCTCCCTCCTCTCCCTCCTCCTCTCTCCTCTCTGTCCTCCTCTGTGTAAATATTTAGGAGTCATGAGTTGTGGTTGCAGTCGTTTGGCAGCAGCTCATTAACCTCTGATTAAACGAGGTCCAGGTTCTTCTGTCACAGACGGCGCCCCCTTTGGACACCAGGCCATATTACAGAGACCAGAGGGGGACCAGAGAGAGACTAGAGAGAGACCAGAGAGAGACCAGAGAGAGACCAGAGAGAGACTAGAGACCAGAGAGAGACTAGAGACCAGAGAGAGACCAGAGAGAGACCAGAGAGAGAGACCAGAGAGAGAGACCAGAGAGAGACCAGAGAGAGACCAGAGAGAGACTAGAGACCAGAGAGAGACCAGAGAGAGACCAGAGAGAGACCAGAGAGAGACTAGAGAGAGACCAGAGAGAGACCAGAGAGAGACCAGAGAGAGACCAGAGAGAGACCAGAGACCAGAGAGAGACCAGAGAGAGACCAGAGAGAGACCAGAGAGAGACCAGGGAGAGACCATAGAGAGACCAGAGAGAGACCAGAGAGAGACCAGAGAGAGAC